GCATCATGTGAAAGCCCTAGGTTTAATCCAGTTCTGAAACAAAGAGCAGACTGTCAAAATTTTAGCACAGTTCAAGTAAGGGCTTCTCTAACCATCATAGAATTGGCAAGAACATACCCCTACTGAGGCACATTTCGGTGCCTTCTTCCTCAGCTGCAGCACTTGGGTCTGTAAGCTCTTCTGTCCAGCAGAGGGGGCAGCTGAGCCACAAGTGGGTGCCTCTGGAATCCCTGTGGGAACTCCTGTAAGCTAGTAAGCTCTGTGATTTTCATGTCTCACCTGTATGATGAGACTAACAAAGCCTTCCTGGTACAGATACTGTAAAAACTAAAAATAATGTGGCTAATCATATGCCAGGGTGTCACCCACCCCACACACACACACCAGGTAATCGATGGGGAAATCATCACCATTTATTTTGGTTTTTTGTAGAACCAGGGATTGAACTCAGGCCCTTGCGCTTGCCAGGGAAGCGCTTACTCCACTGAGCCATCTCCCTGGCCATCACCATTTATTTTGTTACTCTGCATGTCACTGAAAGGGGTTCAAATGGCTTTCAAGGAAGAATGGGGATGGAATTCAGTGGTCCAGAGTCCTGCTGCTGCTGCCTCTAATATGCAAGTGGAGGCCTCTGGTAGGCAGTACCACCTTGTTAGTATTTTGAGTGTGGTCAGAGTAATGGGCTCAATCCTCTTTGCCCCATTTAAGTAGTGTGTGGCTACAAATGCACTGCTCACAGCAGTCCCATGGCCTCACGTGTGCCTCATGAGGTAGAAAGCAGGGCACCAAAGCAGGGCTGAGCTGGCACAACCCCTCCCCACTATAGAAAGCACAATTTAGTGTGGCACAGCTGATGAGGTGACAGTGGGCACTTCATTTCAGAGGACTAGCCAGCTTCTAAAGAATGTGGAAGCCAAGCCCAACTGACCTCAGATCTAACTGGATGATTTGTCTGGGGAGAAATAGCTCATCACTAACTTATAAAAAAATAGCTGTTTTCAGATAATCTTATGGCCCTCTTCCCTGCTACAGCTGAATCTCAACAGAGCAGCCAGGGAGTCTTTCAAGCACGCAAATTCAGATCCTATGAGTGCCTCAGCCTAAGTCTGTCTTCCCGTGTCAGTCACAGCCAATGCCGAAACGCAAGCTCAGGGCCCTAACAACCTGGTCCTGTCCTCCCACTCCGCAACACTGGCGACTCCCACAGTAAGCCAGGCTGGCTCGGCACCTTGGCACTTCCGGTTTCCTTTGCTTAGAAAGCTTTCCTTCCAGGTGTCATGATTGCTAGTTAGTTCTCTTCAGCTTTCTTCTCTGATGTCATTTTGTCACTATTTTCTCAGACAAGCACTTTACCTCTGAGCTAAATTCCAGCCCCTTCTTAAACTTTATTTTGAGACAGGGCCTTGTTAAGTTTGAGGCTGGGCTCCAACTTGTATTCCTCTTGCCTCAGGTTCCCAGATTTCTGGTTTTACAGGCATGCACCACTGTACCCAACTCAAATGTGTCCTTCCAAGGAAGCCTTCCCTGGTGACCTGGTCTAAAGTAGCGCAGGCCTCCTTCCCGCTGTCTTCCTGTTAGGGATTAGATTTCAAACACTGCCCAAAGTATCTTATGTTCAGAAGGAGACCAGATCATGGGGTGCTATGCCCATCAGCGGATTCATCCACAGCAGTGAGCTCAGTGAGGGCGCAGTTAGGAGGTGGGGGCTGGTTGGAGGCAGGACACTCTGGGTTGATCTCAGGGGGTATACACCTCTTCCTGCTCCTCCCTTCCCCTCTGCTTCCTGGCTGCCATAGCATGAGCAGCTGTCCTCCACCAGGCCCTCCCACCGTGTTCCTTGTGTCTTGGAGCTAGCCAGTTTTGGACTGGAAACTGTGACCGGAATGAACCTTTCCTCCCATAGGTTGTGGGTGTTGGGTATTTTATCCCTGTGACAGGAAAGCTAATACGCTTTCCCAGCTTGGTCTTCACAGATGATTTCTTGTTTGTCTTTCCCTGCCTGTGTGTGACCTCTAAAGGCAGCATGTTCTGTGTTATTTTCACTGCTTTATTCTTCATGTCTAGTTTGGTTGAGAATAGGTGCGTATAAGTATCTGTGAGATAAATGCATACCTTAAAAAATCTGTCTCTAGTAATTAACTCCACAAAGCGAGCTCACTTCTTTGCTATCCTGGAAGTGCATTTTGCAGTACACTTGGCTAGCCTCTCATGTGGTCCCTCAGCCATGCTGTGCAGAGACAGATAACTGCCAGCAACTTTCAAGAGATAGGTGTGTGATCCCACAGGAGAAAGACATCCCAAACTCTCGAATATTCCAAGCCAGCACTCCTTTTACTTTGTGGCATGCCTAGTTTCTCTTTCTCTCTTCTTCCTTTTTCTCTGTCTCCGTCCCTTTCTTTCTCTCCCCCTCCTTCTCCATCAGATAGACAAGATAGCTAGATATCCGTAGGCATTTTCATGTTAGAGCAATGCCTAAGTAGATTCCTGAGGATACTGTGACTTTTCTCTAGGAACCACATGAGAGCTGAATGTGTCCATCCAGGACACACTGGGTTAGGTCTCCTGGCTTTTGAAAGATGTTCTCAGTCCTGGCTCTTGTTCACAAGGCTTCTTAAGCCTATGGATGAGCTCTTGGTAGTCAGCACAGAGCATCTATTTTCCTTGTCTTCAGAAGCAAACAACCTGGAGAAAGCCTCCCAGGGTAGTCAATACTCTCGTGACATTTTCATTCTGTCTTTGGATCCACTGGTACCCACCACTGTCTTCCATGGAGACCAATCTGCAAAGCTCTCATCAAAGAGATGTTAGCATTTTGTCTTGAAATTTCACTGAAGATTCTAGCAAAAATCATTTAAAAGAAAAGCTATAGTTGAGATATTTGCTTAAGAGAGCAATGAAAACATTATTGCCATTGAGGAATGGTGATGTTGCTTGCTTTGGGATAAAAGTTACATTACAGATTGGTTTTCTCCTTTTTGCTCTCTCTATTGGGAAACCTAGCACAGAACCACACAGTCAGGATGCTAATCCTGTCGCACACAATCCTCCCTTGGCATGCATGGAACATGGGAACTGGAACTCACTGTAGGCACCAAATGCACAGGCTTGAGTCTCTCCTGTACGCTGATATAGGATCTACCCCAAACTTACTCATATCCTTCGACGTAACTTTCACTCACCTCTAGATGACCTGCAATGCCTCATACAATGTAAATGACGTGTATATAGTATAAACTATATTGTTTAGAGAACAATAACAAGAAAAAGTCTGTATATACTTAGTACCGATCCAATTTTTTTCTGAATGTTTTTGATCTGAAGTTGGTTGAAGTGGCAGTGTAGAACCCACAAACACAAGAGGCAACTGTACACATTGTTCTCTCTTCCTCCCGCCCAGAGCTTCTTACTTTCTATTTTTTCATGCATCCTTTTACTGCCTGGTAAGCTGCCTCAAAGTCACTACAGAAGAGATGGAATGTAAAATTTGTTAAAACTGTGCTCCTTAAGAGTTAAGGTTGGCTGGGCCTGGTGGTGCCTTCTTGTAACCCCAGTACTTAAGAGGGTGAGGCAGGAGGATTCCATGTTCTAATCCAGCATGGGCAATTCAGTGAAATTCTATAAATAAGGGCTAGGAATGTAGTTCAGAGTGAAGGCCCTGGGTTCAATTCCCTGTAGCATACACACACACACACACACACACACACACACACACACACACACAAGTCAACCAGTGAGTAAGTTTAATCGGTTTTAATCAGTGCCACATAAATTTACTATAGCAGGGGACATTTAGGAAGTATGTTAGGAAGGTTACTGACATCTAATAAAAATATCTGCTAGAAATCTGAAAGAAGAGGCTTGAGACCACCATGCTGGAATGGGAGAGAAAAGATCAAACCACACGTACTGAGTAGTATCAGGTAGAGACACAATTCTAATATGAGAGAAAGTATTTGAGATCCTCAACCCAGCCTCACCTCAGCTGGGACAGGCTACCTTTCTGACATGCATAAGACAGGCATCCAAGGCATCATGATCAGAGATGAGAGCACTCAGCTGTCTCATAGCACTGCCTGGACATAGGTCCCCCACCACCTACCAAAACCTTCCAAATGCAGGCAATTAGAATTTTTAAATCCCTAGGGTCTATATCTCTAAAGATGACTTTACATGATACAAATAATCATTCAGTCAGAAATCCTCTTCTTCAGAAGCCATCCTAATTAGCATCTATATGCAATTCAAATAATACCCAACACTCCCGATGAATAATCTAATCTTGCTTTCATATTTATCATCTGTCTTGTTTCACAACAGCCATCCTATATCACCACTTGAGAGGCAGAGAGACCAGGCCCTACCCCGCCCTATCCCCAGTGGCGACACCAGCCCTAGGCTTGTTCCACAAAGCTACACGGCCAGTTTGTGGCTGGTTTCGGTTCCCATACCTGAGCTCAGATGGCTACACCAAGAATTGATATATTGGCTCTTACCCTTTCCTATGTGTCTTCTAGTATTTTCTATGGTTGAGTTTCTGTTTACATTGGAAAGAAGTCCTAGGCAGAACCTGTTCCTGTTATTTGAAGGATCAGTGAATCCATCTATGAGCACGCTTCGGGAGGAAGCCTGGAACGTCTCCCCAACTCGGTTGTTCAGTTCATAGTAGGCGACCGAGCACCAGTGCTGGGGCTCCTCGTAACAAACTGGCCGGAAGTCTGAAAGACAGTGAGTCAGACAGCGCTTCATTACTGTCATACCTGGGCTTCACAGCTTGGCGCCAGGACACGCAAGGGAATGCTTTAAGCTAGACCGAGGTGTGCTGTTCTGCAGTCTTCTAAACCTGACTCTTTAAGGAAGCTGCTTGAGGTCATTTAGTTAGCACATCTGTGGGGCAGCGGCTGGGTCCACATGAATCTTCCATGCTTAGAGCACTTGTAAACCCATGCTTTAGCACAGAGGGCCCCAGGGAGAAGACAGCATGAACAGGTTAATGCAACCAAATTCATCCAAATAAACACAGCTAAGAGGAAGGTGACACATTACCTCAGTTTTACACAGAAAAGAAAAACTCTTACCATGCCAATCTATGGGCCAAAAAGAATAATTTTATAACAAATTGAAGATTAAAAAAATAATAGTTTGGGTATAACAAAAATTATATAAAATTTGATTTAAGAGAGACTAAAATCTTGCACACAGAGGGACTCACATTCTCTTCACGTGTGTGCGGGACATCTAGAGACACGCAGCAGCGAAATATTCTAAAGGGAGCTGGGTATTTCAGTGGAAAATCCACGAAATGTTACTTTTCATTCCAAATTTTAATGTTAAAGTAAGTTTTCCTCTAACCAACTACAGGTGAGATTTTTTTTTCTATCCACACCCTTCCTCTACCTTCCCACTGATTATTTTTTATGTACAGAGTGTGTTTCAATATACCCTGAAATACAAATTTTTTGGAACACATCTATGATAGGGTACCATGTAATCTGAAAAGGTTGTACACGTATGAAAAGGCTCCCTCTGGGTTACTTTAAATATAAAACATCTTCAAACACCCTTCTCAAAATGTGGTTCACAGGACAGTAGCCTCTGCGGGACCTGGAAGTGTGCAAAGGAAGCTGGTTCTTGGCCCCACCCCAGACCAACAGAAGCAAAACATGCATTTAAACAAGACTGAATGAAGAAAAAAAAAGATTGCACCAATATTAAAGTTGAACAACATTTCACTCAGAAAGCCAAGGGAGGAGAATCACTGGGAGTTTGAGGTCAGACAGGGCTAAATAGTGGGTTCAAGGCCAACCTGAACAATGTAGTGAAAGCGTGTCTCCAAAAAAATTTTTTTTTAATAAAATAAAAATAAGAAGAACTGTAAACTTCTAAACCAGGCATAGTGATGCCTACATAGAGTCCCAGTTACCTGGAAAGCTGAGCCACGTGGAACAGCTTGAGCTGAGCAGTTCAGACCAGCCCAGCCTGGACAGGTAGTGAGACCCTGTCTCGAAAAACAAAACAACCCCCGCCCCACCAACCAACCTACAAAACCCTAAAATCTCTAAGTAGTAGGTTAAAATTAAAAAACAAAACAAACCAAAAAAAAAAAAAAACCCTAGTATTCTAGTATCAAGAATAATAAAAACATTCTTTCTCGGTACTGAGGAATGCCAAAGTTAAAATGCAAAGCCACGCTATCTGCCTCTTAAAATACATATAAAGTAGCTGGCCAGCACATTTCTGTTTTGTTTTGTTTTGATGGTGGAAGGAGGACAGGAAATGCTCTTAGAAAATAGTGACATTCAGCTAGTCACCTACAATTTACCTCTGGTAAGTACTGATAGCACTAAGTGACTACCACTGGTGGCATCTATTGGTCTGCCATGGAAAGGGGGCCCCTGGGGTTTGTGAGGCATGACAGGATAGGATGGTACATCAACTACGAGAAAGCAATGGAACACAAGAATAGTCAAACCAATAAACTGTGGAGCGCAGTCCTGCTTTTTGCTGTTAAACTTCTGAGCTTTGTTATTGCTAAGAAGAAAACATACTAAGATAACAAAACTCTTTTGAAGCGACATCGTGAGTTACCTACAAAAGTGACTGGTTGTGCTCAGATCCTCACTGCAGGCTTGATTCATTTATCCTCTGACTTATGAGTTATCACTGAGTTCAAATGACTTTGTGACAAGATTTCAAATCTAGGAGCTGTTCACTCATTCTTCTCAACAGAGCAGTCTTATCTGGCTTATGAAACACAGAGAAAGCTGGCTCTTCCTTAAAGTAAGCTGAATTTTCAGCTCTCATGTGGTCACGGGTTGTACAGTGATCAAAGGATGATCTGACCCTGAAATATTTCAAGACACACTTCCAAAACAGAATAGCTAAAGCCTGGCTCTAACTTTATATGAAGGCATATTTCTCCTCAAGTATTGATCCGATAATTGATCTGTGATCATAGCTAGGCAAAAGGTGTGCATCCAGTAAATGACATTTTACTCGAAAGTAATTCAAAACACAATAAAAACCCTCACTCAGAAGAAAATCTTCTGGGAGGACCTCAGAATAACTAACCCCTTCGATTTTCATTCCTAATGTTAGTTCAAAAGCATCTTGTTAGAGCACTAGTGGGAGACTTCAGCCACATAAAAGCTCAGACCAATCTGCCTTTATTCAATTGTCTGCACAAGCAGTCTCACACTAGGTATGCACACAGATTGCAAATGGAGCTTGCTGAAAATTCAGATTACTGGTCCACATACAGAAATTCTGAAGGGGCAGATCTGGGATTGGATGGAGCCATGTATGCTGTCATAGAACCTATGGTAATTTTAACAGAGGGGCTGGAAATTCTGTAAAGCTGTGACAAGGCATTTATCTGAAAGAAAATAAAGTGTGATGCTGGTGGAAAATATTAAGACAGTCCTTTTGCAGGTCCTCAAATAACTGTACATAGATGACCAGGGACTGAACACAGAACTAGCATGTAACAGCTATTCTACTCTGATTGAAAGCAGGGATTCAGACAAGATACTTGCCTGCTAACATGATAACAGCCTTATTCACGAAAGCTAAATGGTGGGAACAACCCAAATATCCAACAACCCATAAATAGGCTTCTTAATATGGTATATTCATACCAAGGAATATTGTTCGGTCACAAATACAAAGTACTAATCCATGCTACAGCATGGGCGAGCTGTGAAAACACTTTGCTAAGTGAAATAAGCCAGACACAGAAATGCAGATAGTACTTGCCCGAGGCAAACCCAGAGGAGCAGAAAGCAGGTTGGAGGTCACCAGCGCCTGAGGGCAGTGGAACCTGGGAGCTGTGGTTAGGGTACAGACCTTTTCTACTTGGGACAGTTAAAAAAAAAAAAAAATTGCAAGTAGAGCGTGATGATGGTTATATAACCTTGTGAATATACTTACTACCACTGAACTGAACTCTCAAAATGGTTAGGATGACAAATTTTCTTTTTGTATTTAGTACAGGTTCTACAGGGTCTCACTACATAGATCAGACTCATAGTGAGTGATCTTCCTGTTTTCAGCCTCCCAAGTACTGGGATTACAGGAGTATGCCACCACTCCCAGTCTTAGAATGACAAATTTTATGATTATATCTATTTCACTGCAGCCAAAACATCAATCTAGCATACAAAATAATTTAATTATACACTTGAAGATAGTGAATCATATAGTATGTGAATTATATCTCAAAGAAACTATTAAGAAACATAAACTGAGCCAATCTCAAAAGTTCCCTTTGCTCTTACTTATCTGTGACTCTATTATTCAGATTGGTGTCTCACTGTTAATCATGCAGAAAAGAATGATTTTCTTTGAAATACAAAGGGCTATGCTTTCTTTGAGAAATGAGCCAGTGTCTCTACTGCCAGGGTCTGGGAAGAGGACGGGCCACTTCTGCCTGCTGGTTGACGGGGTCAGAATAAAAAAGCCAGTAACGGATATCTCTACAGCACAGATGGATAAGTGTTTTTTATGCACATGCTCTTTGTGACAAAATTATACTGTCCTCCACCATGGCTCTGCCCTCCACCAACCACAATCATACCTCCTCCAATCCATTGCCTCCTACCCTGCACACATACCTCTTTTAGTCCTTATAATCCCTTGCCTGGACTGCTACAGCCGCTAGCACATTCAGAGACGTATGCACCTGATCCTTGTCCATAGTTAGTGCCTCTTGAGGGTCAGAGACTACGGCTTTACCATCATGGCACCTTTGGCACTGGCTTAGCATCAGCCATTCCGCAGGTGGGCAGTCACTACTGACCAAGTCAATAAAATCTACATCTCTACTTCTGAGCTCTAATATCATGTTCCAAACACCTGTGTGGTGATTTCTTTACTTAACAAGCAATGGAAAGGAGCAATCACTGCATTACAGCTCTATGCTGGACACAGAAAAGAGAAGGAATTGTATAATTTGACAATTGCAAAAGGAGGTATGGGAATAAACCACTGAGGAGACAGGAGGCAAAACTAACTTAGAAGAGAAGCAACTCCCCACCAACCCTGTTTCCGTTAACCAGTGCTGAGGATTGAACCCAGGGCCTCTACATTCAGCCATATTCCAGCTCTTTCTAAATTTTTACTTTCAGACAAGTTTTCTCTAAATTGCTGAGTTGTCCAGGGTAGGTTTGAACTTGTGCCTCTTCAAGAATGCTGAAATTACAGGCATTTCTCTTCCCACATTTCATAAGTTCTTTGAGGATTTGGGGTTGATCTTTTAATTCCTTCTTTAGCAGTGTAAGACAAGGTTTTCAGAGCATAAGTTTCATAAATATCTGGTAGATAAATGAACTCATGAATAAATGAATTGATGCAGACCGTAGCAGCCGACACTAAGCATGGGGACTGGCAGCACTGTGTTTGCCTGTGGGAGCTTGTTATCTCCAGGTGCGGCTTACCTCACACCACGAGGCACATGTACATCTTTTCCTGGAATTGCAAGGCTGACCCACTTCATGGATGTAGCAGCACAAGTGAATACGGTGATGCAATAGATTCCCCCTCTTTCTCTCACATCCACTTTCAATTCAGCAAATAAGTTACCAAATACGTCTCAGGCAAGCTGCTGTCCTGGCTCCTAAAGCCAACGGTGAGAATGCACTGGCTAGAGAGCCCTCGTGCTGCCCAGGGGCACTGTGTGCACATCTTTTGTAGCACAGACTCTCTTTGGATTCTTGAAAGAAAAGGCCTAACCCTGACTTTCCACATTGCCTGCTCTCAGCCCCAGTCTTTCTGCTTGGGCTAAAGGAATATTTTAATCTTATTTTACTGCCATAAAGAATATCTCTGGAACTTCCCAGGGATGCTGGTCAAATCCATTTAGTTTCTGAGTACTTCCAGAGAATCAGATCCAGAAATCAAGAGTTGAATCATGTTGTGGCTGCAGAGCTGATCCCAGATGGGCTGCTCCTGACACTGGCAAAGGGCGGGTGGGGTCCAGCGCCTATAGAAGACCAACTTGTAAAGCACCACAGAGCACTATGTGAACGCAAGTTATAACGCTTACACTTGTCATGGTTGACCATAAATCACTGCTTTGGGTTCAATTTTCCCATAGACCGCGGCTCTTACTGACCTACCTGAGTGTTGATAGGGGCTCTCTGGCTCGGAAGGGCTTCCTGGGGAGTGGGGATAGCTGGCTGAGCATGGGGACTGAGAGAACATGTGGCCAGGCGAGAGAGGGAGCGCAGGACACGGAGGCTGCTGGAAGGAGTCGGGGTAGGTGGCATTGTGCGGCATGAGCGGCTCGCTGTGCAGGGAGGCGCTGCGGAACTTGGCCAGGAGGCTGAGCTGGGGGTTATATTCGCTGTGTCTGGGCACGAGTACAGGAGGCAGCACTAGGGAGAAGAAGGAACAGGAGAGTGAGAACAGAGCATGGCTCACCAGGACAGAACACAGGGCACATGAGCAGATGTCTGTCCTGTGGCTCAAGACCACAGATTTCTCTTTGGGACTGCCCCTGTGCTGTTTGTGCTCATCATAAACTGCCCGTAAATTTCCATCTCTATGTCTATGTGGATATGTGAGCCATACTAGGCCAAGAGCCTTCCTTCTTTCTTTCTTCCTTCTTTCTGCAGTATTTTTTTTTTTGTACCAGAAATCCGAACTCAGGACACTGTGCTTAGCAAGCAGGCGCTATGTCACTGAGCTACATCCCCAGCCCTACCACCTGCACCTTAAGCAGAATGTCAGTATTAATGGCCGAGCTCCACAGGGCCTTTCTAATACCAGCACTCCAGAGGGCTGCCTGCTCTCTCCCACCTTGGAACTGCCCGAGCTCGCTGGCACTGGCCTCTGAGGGACTGGCTGCTTACATCTTCCTTTACTACTGCCAACACTGTCTTTTTTCAAAGGCACAATTGGTTTCTAGAGCTTGCAAGTGAAACCCTAAGTGATGCCCAGAATATTTTGCCTTTACAGACTGTGTTGAATTATTTAGATGATCAGCCTCAATTTCAGGCATAACAGTGCAGCTGGGACAAGCATTGTATTTGTCCTTAATGGAAAGATTTAAAGGTAAGGAGCTAAAAGTTATTCAGTAAAACACAAGCAGTTAGTACTAACAAAGGTGAACACATAAAAGATCAGCTACAATAAAAAAAATCTATAAATCAAGCTTGCTTCTTTTAGTAGGTCCCTCTGGGTTTCGTTTTTTAAAAGAACATGAGTATTCCTGATCCTGAGTCAATATAACATATAGGAATGGATTCAAATTCTCTCAAGGGCAGGCTTTCGTTGGGCATTCAGACCTCCTGGTGACATCTAAGGGGCATAAGGCCTGGCACAATGAGGGAACTATGTGCTGAAATTCAGCCTGGAACCAACGTAAATTCCAGATTAAAAAAAAAAAGCAAAGAAAATAGAAAATGACCAGAGCAAGAACAGAAGAAAACTTTGCAGAGCTGAAAAAGATCTGTGTCTTCAGGGGGAAAGGAACATGGAGTGCAGAACCCAGTTAACAAATGAAAGTTTTGGGCCTAGTCATACCACTTTGTGCTTCAAACACTGAAAGAAAAATGGAATATTCTGGAAACTCCTGAAGGGTCCCAGTGACATACAGGGAAGTGAAAATGGACTTTGCACCTCAATACTAACCACCAGAAGACAACTGGCTAATGACCTTCCAAAGGAACAGTCTCACCCGCCAAATCCTCAACAGAGAACAGAATAACTAGAAATTCATACAGACTGCAGTATGAACTAAAATATAGATATCAAAACTAAGAGGAGGAAATAGGTCAGAAAGTTATATATACATATGATTTTCAGTCCTCATCTTTTATGTTAGAAGAGTGCCAGATTTTCTAATGGTGGTAAATTTGGAAAGGGATTACAAGCACATTACCTATAGCTACTTCCATGATTGGTAGTAATTATGGAAGAAAGAACAATGAACTAAGTCAGAAATGTTTAAAAGATGTTTCCAGGGATGGAAGAGTTAGTTCTTACTTTTAATCACAGTATTGATTTGTTAGCACATGGAAGCACTGATAAATATCATAAAATGTAACTGTCATAAAACTGATCTAAAAAGTAAGATCTTAAAAGAATAAATATTTTCAAGCATTTGGAACATTCAATAACAATAATAATGCAAACAACTATCTCACAACATACCATTTACTTTTTACCATAATATATTTATCTTTTTCCTAATAAAAAATAATTTTCAGTTGAACAAAAATGAATTCAAGCAGATAAATGGAAGGTCTTACACTAACTGCAGATAAGGGTAGCAGAGGAACCAATGATTTCTTCTCCCCTCATTAATTAGTGCTCTTACCATGCTGCCTTACAACATTAGAGAACGAATACTCAACATCACTGTGCAAAAGTGACACAAAGAGCCAGGTGAAGCGGTGCATTCCTGTAATCCCAGCACTCAGGAGGCTGATTCAAGAAGATCGTTGTGAGTTCAAGACCAGCCTGGGCTACAAAGTGAGCTCAAGACTAACCTGAACTGCAAAGCGAGACCCTGTCTCAAAAAGACCAAAAGAAAGTGGCATAGAGGGCTGGCGTGTGACTCGCTGGCAGAGCATCTGCCCAGCAGGTCCAAGGTCCTGGGTCTGACCTCCAGCACTGCAAACAACAAAATAAAAGGGAGGACGCAGAAACAAACAGCAGAGTTTCCTTTAGTGTGTTTCCTGTCTATGCAGGAAGAAAGATGACTCGCCTCAAGCAAGCAAGGGGCTGAGGCAATAAATAATATACAGCTTCTTCTGCAATGATACTTGTTTATCACAATGTTAATGTTCAGATAACACTTTTTATTGATGAGCAGAAACTAACACTAATGAAGACAGTGCTTCTGCAAACTTTCATTTCTTCAGCAGTAGATCGCAGGGACCAAGAGCAGAGACAGAATTATTTTCTTTATCATGAGTGACCAGCATCTAAGTAATATATTCTACCATCTAGGTGAATGTTTGCAAAGAAGACTGATAGTGTTATTCTGGTTGCTTTTTGGCTTGACTCATTCAGTTTCATTAGATCTCAACTGAACATATATTTAAACACCACAGCTAGGCATGGTGGCACACGCCCACAACCCCACACGGGAGGCTGAGGCAGGACTGCTGTCAGTTCCAGGCCAGCTTGGGGTACACAGTGCATTCAAGGCCAGCCTGAATTACACAGTGAGACTTTGTCTCAAAAAACAAAACCAAACAACAACAAAAATGTAAGCACCTTCACTCAAAACACTACTATTTTTAATTGCTTAGGTTACACATCTTAGCTGCTGCTTACAAATAGAAATGGTGTTTACACATATCCATCTATATTGCGTGCCACTTTCCAAATGCCGTGTCATCTTGGGCTCTGTGTTATACACAGGAAAGTAGCAGAAGGAATCACTGGACACAGAGAGATGGATGCAAAGCAAAAACAAAACCAAAAAACTCACAAAAATACTTTAATCTCTCATCCTTAAAGGTTTTGGGGCTTGGATATAGTCAGGTTATTTATGCAAAGGAGAAATTACACTCCTGAAATAACCTCCAGCCACATGAGATAAAATCATTATACCTGGGGGAGACACGTTTGCACGACTTCTGTGGGACCCATGCCAGGCAGTGTGTGGATTAAGAACCTAAAGACATTTCAACGTTAGGGACCCGCTCATGAAGACATGAGAGTGGAAGCTAAGACTTAAAATGTTTACAGATTCTGAATAACAATTTGGCACAGTTATTTTATAGGTGTTGAAACAAGCAGTTTTAAAGACTGGGCTTGCATTTTAGAAAGTCTCTTTAAAACTGTATTTGTCTATAATTCATTTACTTGGTGGAAGCCTGATTTGAAGAACCGAAAATTTAGAAAACAAAAGCTGATGCTTCACCACCCACAGCTTGAGATGCACCAAAGTCTGTTCCTTATGTGGACATGTAAGTGAAAAGACAATAAAATGCAGGGGTTTTTTCTTCCTTTTTCTTTTTCTTTAATGTACTTAGTACAGGGTCTACAGGGCCTCACTGCATAGATTGGACTCCTAGTGATCCTCCTGTGTTCCACCTCCCAAGCCTGGGATTACAGGTGCGCACCACCACGCCCAGTCTCAGTCGCTGTCTCTGTGCCCCAGGGGCGGGGCCAGCCCAGCATGCAGGGGATCGAACCCTGGCCACTGCGTCCGCCTAAGCAGGTGCGTTCATCTGCAGAAAGCAGTTTGCATTGTACATAAAACACCATAAAACCTTCAAAGACAACACGTAAGCTTTTATTATAATTCAGGCTCAGCAAACTTGTTTCATATTAACATTTTCAATGTTCTCAAAATGCCTCAAACATGCCTAAGCCTATGTAAATTCTATTGTTTCACTCAAATGATCTTGTAGAGTAAAAACTCTGTATAGCTTAAATATCATTTTAAATTAATACAATCTTGACCCATTTTTCTGGGAATTCAAATGTAAAGTATGATTACGTAAAACCTTGACATTATCATCTTAAAAAGAGCTTATAGTAAAGTTGAAGCACTAAATCGCACTTTAAAATTAAATCTTTTAGTATACAAGAGGAAAACTATATACATTTTACTCTTACAAACTATTACAACTTTTTTATATTTTATAAATGCATTATTATGAAAGAAAAATATTTCTCTTTTTATGTATTTGGTACAGGGTCTCACTACACAGCCTGGACTCCTAGTGATCCTATTTTCAGCCTCCCCAGTGCTAGGATTACAGGCGTTCTCCACCAAGCCTGGTCTTGTGGTACTGGGGATTGAACACCAGACCCTGTGCTTGCCTAAGCACATGATTAGTACACTGACCAATCTCAATGGCTCTGAAAGAAATTTTTTAACTTTTACTATTTTCGAAACTTTAGATATGATCATTTTATCCTTTTTCTTTCTTTCTTTTTTTTTTAATGGCCCACTTGGGGGCGGGGCTGGCACAGCATGTGGTGCCAACGATTCAGCCACAGTCCCCTAAGCAGGCACTTTAGACCACTAAGCTAGCTCGCCAGCCTGAAAGAAAATATTTTCTAATAAACACTTTTCTACTTTGCTGTGTACCTTAAACAATTCACATCTTTGAGACAAGAAGGAAGCAAGTCATCTTTGTCATAAACTGACACATGACTTGTCTCTATTGTTTTAGACAGGCTCTTGCTGTGTTATCTAGGCTGGCCCTCAACTCCTGGGTCCAAGCAATTTTGAGTTGTTGGGAGTACAGATGCATGGCACTATTCTCCACTCTTTTTTTTTTTTTTTTTTTGAGATATGGAAAGAGCATTCAAAGAAAAAGATGAAAAAGAAAATAAGCAACAGTTTCCTTGATTTCAGGGAAATGCATCACCTCTACCAAGAATGTGGACCCTTGTAATGGCCTCCTCGGACAGGGTCTTGGGGCTAGAAGTAGTTGGAGACACACCGTGCCCAAGCAGGTGACTCCTGTGACTTTCATCAAGCCCTTCTCATGGATCACATGGTGGCAAGCTCTGGGAGCCACAAGAGCTGCCTACATACTGCTAATGTGGGCCAGGCATGACCTTCATGAAGGTGACTGAAGGCTTGAGCTACTACCTAGACAGCACTGTCTCCTCACAGGACATGGGCAATTTCCCTGAGCAAATGTGTCAGCCCTCTGATTTCCTGGAATGAGGCAGACAGCCAATGAAAGAAAGAAGGCTCCCGCTACAAAAACTCTATTCCTGCATGGAATACCACAGCAACACTCCTGCAAGGAAAACAGCAATAAAACGGTTGCAACCAGTGTACAGGAATGAAGGTAAACACCAGGCTTCTTTAGGGAGGAGGTGGTAGGTGGGTACACACACGTATTAGTGTGTAACAAGCTTTGGAACAGGATTTTCCTATATTTTAAACTGCAATTTTTAAGAAATGCATTTTTAAGAACTTAGGGCACTTACTTAGCATGCACGAGACCCTGATTTGATCCTCAGCACCAGACCAAAAAAAATTAACTCCTCCTCCTCCCACTTACATCATATTTAAGAACAACTGCCCATTTTTCCCCAACCTGTCTTTAGTGCTGGAATAACTTTCATCTGGCTTTTCTGGCAGAGAAAAAACTTCTCATGCGGCAGAGATATGAAATGCCTTTGACTTATCTGAGTTTAGACAAAGCAAACCAAAAACTTGCCTCAGTTTAGCTCAGTATAGTTCAGTGGAGTTGGTGGGACATGTTTACGTTTTTATACTTAGTCATTATCAAGGCCATTTTAAGACCTTTCAAAACCTTAAGAACTCAGAAAAGATTATGATGATTCCTTCTAAATTAAGTCACATAAAACTACTCTTTGCAAAAGCACACAAAGCTTACATGTACATTGAAATTAAAATATCTTCTGCCCAGATTTTTCTGGATACAAGTTGTTGGATTCACTCCTCACAGTCGAACCTTACTTTCTCTACCAGCAGAGATCCTTGTCTTGGGGCGCCCGCCATTCTCCACTGAGACACATCCCCTGAACTCTGCAACAAACCTGGCCCCCACAAGCAAACCCACCTGGGGTCTCCACTCGGCAATAGTGGTAGGGGTTGATGCACACCTCCTTCTGCTTGGAGCCAAACGGGAACTCACAGCACTCCAGGGGCTTCAGCTCATGGTGTGACTGCAGGTCCGGCCACCGCCACACGCGGCAGTAGATAACGTGGGGCAGACCCTTGCGGTGGGACACCTGCAGGCGCCCGTCTAGGGACCTAGGGATCGTGACACACTTGCTGGGCTGCCCCGGAGAGCTGAGGGCCCTCTCCAGCTCGTCCATGGCCCCTTTCTTCTTCTTCAGCTTCTTCACTAAGGAGTCAACTGCCTTCTCAGCCCACTTCTCCTCCTCATCTCCTTGTTTCCAGCCAAGCAGTCTCTTCACTGCAGGGCTGGTGAAGGAGAAGAGGGAGCTGATGGGGGTGCTGGGGTGCATAGGAGGTGAACCACGGGAGTCTGCGCACAGGAAACCAGACCCGTGGTCCTTCAAGGCTTGCTGGGCCCCGGGGAGGTCGGCAGCAAAGAACTCCTTAGGGCTGTCATAGGTGCAATGCGGCCTCCTCTGCGGGAAGCATCAGCAACAGATTCACAGTGGGAAGTGTGGTGGCCTCCTCCGGAGTCGCTCGGTGGGCCGGCCAACTCTGTGAGAGAAGGAAAGGCCTCCGTGAGTGCAGCCCAGGGAATTTGCAGAAAGGTGTAAAGAAAGAAGGGAAGCAAACATTGCTGAGATGTTTTAACTTAGGAGCTCTCAGTCCTCTCCGGCCCTGGTCTCCCATACTGTGAGCATCACCACCTTCCAGTTATGATCATCGCCTCCCAAAGCTCTTTCAGAGTTTGTCTCTTCCTGCTTTCATCGAGACCTAAGGCCCAGCCCCTCTGCCACTCATTCAGTTCACTGCAGTGGCCTCTGCAGTGGCTGTTCTCCTTCCTTTCTCCTCCCGCTCTAATCCATTTACTGCTCTCCCAGGCACAGCTTTTGCCAAGTCATTTTCCTATTTAAGAAATTATGTGGCTCCTTGGTTTCCCAAGTGCAAAGGCTCTGCCTGGGCTTTCTGGGTCTCCACAATCTTCCTAAATGTTTATGTTTTATGTTTTAAACTGCATAAAAAAATCCAGCTTCACTGTAAGAAATATATAACAATGAAAAGAAAAACAATGAGATCTCCAGTCATCTTGCCACTCTGGAAGAGCCACTCTTCTATAGCTACTGTTCCCCAATACTATATAGGATGGTGGTTCTCAAAGTCAGTCCCAAAGATCTCCAGGGCCCAGAGACTCTTTGGCAGGGCTGTGAGATCCTCTCTTTTCCAATTAAATGTCTGGATGAACAAAATTTTTGTCATATACTTAAACCAAAACAACAGATCAACAGGCTATATGCTGAAGTGAATATGCAAATCTTGGTGTCATTTATTAAGTTAAAGACTAAAGGTATAAGACTGGGCGTGCTGGCATGCACCTGTAATCTCAGCACTTGGGAGGCTGAAAACAGGAGGATCGTTACGAATCCAATCTACATAATGAGACCCTGCAGATCCTGTACTAAATACATTTTTAAAAAAAGACTAAAGATATAAATAATCTTTTTTTTTTTTGAGATAGGGCTAGTGTATCCCAGGCCAGCCTTGAACTTGTGCCAATTCTGCTTCAGTCTCCCAAGCACTGGGACTCCAGGTGTGTGCCACCATACCTGGCTCTCCTCAATTTTGTAAAACATAGTTTTTAATGTTAAAGTGTTCACATATAATTCATTATTCTATTATATATTCATATGTAAAGTAATCATATATAATGGATTCATTGTTTTTAATGATTCAATAAATTTATTTTTAAATTTCTTATAGTTTTAATGCTTAAAAGGAAAAAAAAAATTGAACAGACATAACACACATAAACCAAAGTTTCTTGGAATTCTCCACACAATTTTTAAGTGGAAAGGAGCCAAAAGACCATAGCCTTCGGGAACCATACTTCCCAGTCACACACAGTCACATTCATAAGTGTACACCCCAGAAAGTGCTCTTCTCATAGTTGCTCTTGGGTCTACAAACTGCTGAGTTCCTTCCCCTGCGCACCCAGGGAAGCGCCTGTCCTACTGAGCCATCTCCCTGGCAATTTTCTTGTGCATCCAAAGGAGACATTTCCTCCCAATTATCCAGCCAGCCCATTTAAATTTCCTGAGGTAGAACCACATTTCCCGACCGTGAAAGTGCCAATCTAAACAAAACCGATTCTCCTCCTTTCCCGGTCTCGGAAGCAGCGACCTCATTAATGTTTCAGTGGTGCTAAGTGGTCACCTTTTGGAGCAAGCAGACTCATTTTAGTCTCCTAGAATCAATGCAGCTCATAACCTCCAACAACTGCTTGATTAATAGACACTAAACATAATTTTTCTCCTTTGCTTCCCTGAAAGAAGTGGCCTTTTCGAGTTACATTATGTAAATGCCGCCGCCACCCAGCACACAGGTCAGGGCTAGGGCTAGACCAGGGTCAGTGCCTGCCAGGCCTGTGTTCCACCACTGAGCTACATGCCAGCCTTACATTTCTTTTGAACAAAGGTAATACATGATCTTTGTGGCTGGTGATCTTCATCAGGAACCTCCTGGTGCAGGATGTCGGCCGAGTTACACAAAACTCGGTGACATTTAACAAGCAGACCGCAAGGCTTCCATCACCTTGTTTCTCATACGGACCTCATGTAAGACTGCACAGAGGTAAGCTGTGAGGGAAAGGATTCAAGGCTGGGAGCTTTCCCACTTGGCAGTCCGACTTATGCTCGCTCTTATTTGGAAAGGTTGATTTTGTGGCTTAACAATTGTACATTTATAAAATACGGTTAAGCCACTCTGCTCAGGTTGTGTTTATGCCAGCGAGACAAGCTGCCGCGCGGCAGTGGCGGGAGTGGTGGGGAGCACAAGCAGGGGCAGCAGCACGGCACGAAGGAGTCTGAACCCTGAAGGGCGCTGGATCATGCTTCATTTTACATAGCATAAATATTTAGGGTTCAAGCCAGTAACAAAGAAAAGACTTGTAAAAATGTTCAGCAGAGCTCAACTAAATATAGCTTTTGAAAACTTTTCCCATGGAACAAATTACAATTCCCCAAACTGGGGGTTTGTTTGACTTGTTTTAATTGTTGTTTTAAACTGAGGGTTCCTATCTATTGATGGCACAAAAAAAAACAATTTATCAGAACAAAATGGCTTTTGTACCATCAACAAAACTAAGCAGACGATATTTCAGGGCAGCTAACAAAGAAAGAATAACGATGTGTAGGATGAGTTCACTAAAACATTTCGTTCAGAAGTGTGCATGTGTGTGTGTGTGGTGTAGGAGTCCACAAGCCAAAAGAAGTACTGTGCCTCACAATCAAAAAAGTCTGAAAGACATGGCTCCTAAACCATGCGTTTCATGCCATCTCTGTTTTACACTGACAAATGATGCTCAGGGGCCACCCACCGTCCTTCCTCGTACCCTAGAGAATGACACAGTCTCATTACCCACAGGCCTTTGCATTAAGAGACATCCCCAAGAGTTAGATTTATAAGTTCAGAGTGATAAGCACCACATTCAGTGGCCTCTGGGTAGGGAAGGAAGAGAAAATAAGAAGGCTGACTGGTAGGTACATGAGTACTCAAAATATTATTCTCTGTATGTGTTTGTATGTTTGATATATGTCTTAGTAGAAAAAGCACTAAAAATGAATCAAACCTGGAATCTCATGAACACTAAGGTCCTTGTCTTTTCTAATAATTTCTATAAAATGAATTAAACTTGGAATTTTGCTAATACTGAGGTTCTTATCTCTACATTAATAGTTTCTATTTGTTGGTGAGAAGAAGTTTGGGGTCATAATGGTTATTCTATTCTCATTCCTCTAAGGTTGTAGGCTCTAGAAGAAAAAAGGGGTCCCTTGTTATCTCTGGCTACTCATTGCCCTAAAGAAAACAGTGCAGGTCCCCTCTGCGTACATTTACCCAGAGTGTCAACCTGGCTCCCAACAGTTTTCCACTGCAGCAGACTTTTAAATGTCCAAAGACCCCAGGACCTCCTGAGGATATCACAGCATGAGCAGGCCTCACCAGCCCAAGTAGAGCACTCTCATAGGAACCATCAAAAACTACAGCTGTGGAAAGAGAGAGCAGGTCAGTTAATACTGTTTTGGGTCCATCAATTTTATAAAGAATGAAAAAGAAAAAGAAATACGGTGCCTTTTAAAGATGAATGTATGTAAAGCATTTATAAAGAGGAATATAACTAGTTAATTCCTACAGCATATAACAAGAGCAGTGCAGGACATGGTATATGAAGATAAGAGTTCGTAGCTCAACCTGGGGAATTCTAGGATCACTGCAAGGATAACTGAGTTGCTGTTAGAAGGGTTAAAATCACAAAATGTAAACTGCCTTGGCAGACTAGTGTTGTACTCTAAGATGGGGGCGGGGGAGAGAAAGAGAGAGAAAAAGCGAAGGAGGAAGGAAAGGAGGGAGGAAGGGGGAGGGAGGGAGGGGGAGGGAGGGGTCTCACTTTATAAAAGAATTGTGGCCCTCGTCACAGGTGAGCAGTGTGAGGACAGACAGTCGCACGCTGTCTCCCCAGCTCCTGCTTCCTCATCCGCTGGTCACGATGGCTCAGCCTCCCGCAGGGGTCTGCACGCAGGGCCGATGCCTGACTGGTTGTCTGCTGACTGTGCCACAGAGGATCCTGTTGTTGCCTCATCAATCAATGCGTCCTGGCGTCGAGCGTGAGCCCTCCATCACGACACCCCATGACGTGGAACATGGCGAAGCAACTACTTATTCTCCATAAACATCAAACTTAGCCTCTGAATAACAAATGTCACCTCCACTTTGCTTTCCAGCTATTTCTTTCTGGAATTACTCCTATGAATGTGAAGGAGGAAGCGTGAAAACGTGTGCGTGGAGCATCTGCTGGCGTGTCACCACCGGGTGGTCACAGCCCCCAGTCTCCACAGGCTCCGTCTGTTGACCATCAGAGCTTTCCTTCTTCGGACAGAGACGAAAAAGCACCATGGCTGTGCTCTCTGCCCTTCAATCCAGGCTCCTTCATACACACCCAGCTCAAAAACAGTCCTCCTTTCTTTGTCTGGCATCCAAATTTTACAATAAACTCCAACTCAGTGAGCAAAACAACTTCTCATTTTCAAGTTTTTTAAATAAACAGGCCCACTTAAAAGAAAAGCAGCACTGACCACATGCATACACCACGATTTAACTATATGTAATTCAATGCTAAAAAACAATTTACCCAGCCAGCTAAGGGTTTGGGAAACATGGTTTCTTTTTTTAAGTGTCAGTTTAAATTCACTCTCCCTCTTCCTAAGCACTGAAGATTATTTCCATACACTTGGCTTTGGAAGTGTAGTTTTCAACCCTGAGGAAAATAAAGGGTAAGAAACACTCTTTTCAAGAGTGTTTGTGGGGGGCAAATACCAGAGGACTGGGCGCCAGGGGCCCTTCAGCAGCCTCTGTGGGCCCTGTTGAGGGTCAGTGTGGCCAAGACTAGTTCCCGTCACTTACCAGCCTGAACATCATGATCAGCTGTGAGGGTTCAGCACAGAGCCTATGCCGGCCCTCTCTGTCACAACAGAGCATCATTGTTCGATTATTTGTTACTGTTG